TACAATGAGTTTTTATTTGTGGTGTGGGAATTTTACCAGTTACTCGGTTTATTTCACAGATCATGGTGGAAATTTTCAGTGGTTTGTTTGAATATAATAATAATAATTTTTCCTTCATGTTCTCAGTGGAACATAGGGCTTCAAGCTAGTGGCTTCGCTCTTTACCAGCATTATTTCTGGCTTAGCGAGGTAAAGGAATGCGCCGGCCGGTGGTCGAACCCCGGACCATGTGCATGGTCGGCAAGCGTCCTAACCTCTGTGCCACCGACGCGGTTTGTTTGAAAGTAGTAACTAATGAGTATTGATTTAGTGTCCGAAGGACTGATTTGTTTGTGCATTCATCTTATTTAACGACTTAAAATTCTTATTCTGTATTTCTGAGAAAATGTTTAAAGCTAGCACGAAATAGCAGTTTAGTTCTTCTTAGCCTGTACTGATTTTCTGAATGATCTCGTTCACTCATGTAACTCTTAAGAACATATGTTGACATTGCCAACTCTTTTTTCTATCCGAGCATGATTTTGTTTGAGTTTTCATTCCTGACGCAGTATAATTCCATTTTGTTTAGTGGACACATCATACAGTAAGACAATTTTATAACGTGCCTTGATTGGAAAACAGTAGAATGCTCGCCAACCATGCAGGTGGTTTGAGGTTCAGTTCACGGACAACACACCCTCCAAACCTTCATCAGCTAGTTATAAAACTGGTGAAGAGGGAAGGCTGGGCATGAGGCTATCAGCCACATCCGTAAAAATCAGAACCACTCCTAAACTAAACTTCAAGCCTCTAGTTTGAAGCCCTATTTTCCATTGGAATTGTAAAGGAAAGTAATTTATCGGTTTTACAGTGAGGTAACTATATCTCCACAAATCTTTACACAGCAGTTTCTGTTATCTTTGTTGTGTGAGTAGTAGTACAATTTTTCTTATAACTAACAATTACATTAGGTTATTTCTACTGTAGGCCTTTGATGTTTCTTTAATTGACAGAAAGACTTTATTAAACTTTCTTTCTTTACAGATAACCTGAGGAGTTTTCAGGTTTTTCATTCAACTCTATTCTATTGTGTGGTTTTAATTATAGTTTTAACGGAGGTTTCCTCTAAGTTCTTTGCTTCATATAGGTCCGTGATTCTTAATTTTGATGAAATCCTTTGCTGTGATAACTTAATAATTTGAAATAACTATCCTAATTCATGCCTTTAACCTCTCTACCTGTTCAAGAATCAGTGGACCACGAGCAGTTTCGCCTGGTTAACTGTGTATGACTCCTGAATCTACCAAGAATGTTTCGTAGGGGAGAGGCGGTAGGTTAAGAATTATATTTTCGTCACTGAAATGTTAAAATGCCTTTGTAATGTTTCAAAATTTTCTTTTATATAAGAACACATTTTGGAAGTTCTGACTTCCTAATTCTTGGTGCTGATGTTATCATTCAAATACGCGATATCTGTGCTACTAATACTTCAAATAATTTTCTGTAAACTTTTGAATATAGTGAACTGAATGAAATCCAAATGTAGAATAACAAAAAAACTTTTAGATCTGATATTATACAAGCAAAAACAAATTGTTGATATGCACAGGATGTGTGTCTCATATCGATAATAAAAGCTAACAAAGGTATCTGAAATGTAGGAGAAATCTTTACCTAACCACGAGAACTCATAACCACCCTCAATTGGTTATTACGTTAGGAATACTGTCTTAGGCTGCGAAGAGACCACAGCATCGTGCAAAATGTTTTATTCATTTTGAGTAAACAGACTCATGAAAAATAGCTGACGTTGTTCAACCTAAAATATTCAAAATAATTTTAGATAATTTAGGAAGTGTTTGATATTCCATTCTCATTAAGCCTGAAAACTAGAACAGACAATTTTTAAGGCGCAAACTATGTCGTTTGTCAAAGTTTATTTCAACTACTTTTTTATTCTAAGCCACAGTAAGCGTATTACCAAAAATTAAGTCAAAATGAACATCAGGTGGTCATAAGTAAGAGCATACAATTGCTGAGTATTTTATGTTGGTATTCTTCGTAGTTAGAAACCATGAAGTGTTTTCAGGATGTGAATTATATTGATTCAAGCAGTGAGCAAAGAAAAAAAAGAGACAGTCAAAACTCACCGTTATCAATATATCATCATAAACTTCCCGTGTAATGACTGTTTTTGAGAAACCATGTCTTTGTATGTGAACCAATTTCTTGTCCGATTCAACAGTCACATAAGCCTGTTCAAAAAAGTATAGGTAGTCGGATTATGATGACGAAAAAAGACATATGAAATATGATGCAAGTGTTGATGTTTCCCAGTGGCCTGGTGGATAACCTTTTGTCATCTGAATCGATGGGTACTGGTTTCGAGGGTCAGTAGTAATAACATCATTCGCTAGGGGTGCAAATATATCTTGATAGCGAGTTCCAGTTAGGTTGAAATACGCGTCTTGGATTTCACTGTTATCCATAATTCACAAAATGAAGGTGGATTCTTTCATCAACATATCTCGTTAAGTTAACAGTAATTTCACACCTTATCTATGGAAGCCAGAAGATAACCACACGCACACCGAAGGCGTGGCTATCATGATGTCACCAACGGCAACAAAGGACCTGATGCAATGGGAGGCGATCTCGTCAAGGATAACGACCGCCAGATTCAACTCAAAAGGAAGGAAAGTGTCAATTATACAATGTTATGCACCGACAAACAACGCAAACCTCGAAAAGAAAGAAGAATTCTACAGACAACTACAGGTAACAATGGACAGTACTCCAGCTGGTGACATTAAAATACTAGTGGCGGACATGAAAGCCAAACTGGGACCAGACAACACAGGAAGATTTGTCGCGTCATCAAGAGCATCTCAAACAAACTACAGGCCTTCATTAACAGTTGTCTTCGCTCAATACTCAAGATCAGATGGCCGGCCAGAAAAGATCAGGAATACGGATTTCTGGCGATGAGCGAACCAACCAGGAACCGAGTGTGATACAAATAGGCAGGAAGAAATGGAGATGGATTGGCTGGCCATACTCTAAGGAAACCATCAAGTGACATCACTAGACAAGCCATCGCTCGCGTGGAACCCGACTGAATGGGAAGCGGCGGGTTGGTTGTCAGTGCAAGGGTGACTTGGAGGAGGTCATGTGAAGAGGAGATGAAAGCATATGGACAAACTTGCAGCGGGGTGAAAAAGTTGGCAGAAAATCGAATGCAATGGAGATGGGCAGCTGAAGCCCTATGTTCCTCTAGGAATTAAAGGATATAATAATAATAATCTATGGAAGCCAACTCGTCATGAGAAGGACTGATGATAAAAAAATGTGGTGTGTTTTCTAGGTATGGAATGTCACAATATCGTGAAGCATAAAAAAAAGCGTTATAGGATATTCAGTCGGCTCATTTTTCAAAAATGAAACAACTCAAGTGTTATTCCGTTCACAACTTGTTTTAATCTAGAGGGAACATTTGTAAAATTTTATATGACTGGTTTTCAGCTAGTCTACAGAACGCTACTCTTATTCTAAACTACTCATATCAAACATTGTCTGTTGTCAGTAGTATGTGCCATACTGCATATTTTCTTTGCTTTCTTGAGGTCATACATGATGTCGAGCAGGTCATATAGTGTGATATCAGTATTTTGTATTTCTAAGGGAGACTGTGGCTAAATTTGATCTCAAACACCTGTTCACTTTGCAAATAGCTAGCTGAATTCTATGCATTATCACCAAATCATTAGTCAAAGAAAAAAGAAACTTCTATTCTTTAATAAATTTTAAAGTTTGTCATTGTAACCTTTTGGAGTCACATATAAATGTCATAATAGGCGATTGGTGAACAGACAGTACAGAGGTTTTAGTATATTTAGTGCCAAAATATTTCGTCTTTGTACAGGATTTACATGTAAAGTAGTAATCTGAAGTATATAGCGTGAGGCAGTGTTTTTTCTTCATATGCAGAGAGAACGAATTATGCATACTTTTGCCTCATTTCCCTCAAGAATCTCACAGCGTTTTGTTGAAAGCTAATTAAATTTGTGCGCCAGTTCATGTAGTGATCATCTAATATAATTGAATGATTCAAACAACAAGAGATAAATAAGAGTCTAGGCATTTTGATGAATTGGAATTCTAGTAAGTAATTCAGTTATTTAAGCAGGCCTCCGTGGATGGCATCAGATAATGTCAAAGCTCAGCTCAATGGAAGATTATCTGAACCATTGTGCATAATAGATGACCAGTGGAGTGGTCATAAATAGCCTGCTGAATAAGGACTTCCTAAAATCTATAACAGATACTTTTCTATAAATAGATATGTATGATCTATTTTTTAGTGAACATTCGTAATGAGTTACTAAGTAACTTTAATCAGATGGTCTAAGAGAATTGAATAAAGCCAGGAGTGAATCATTTCTGGACCTCTAAATACGTTGAAACTAGTCCGCAGAATACCATCCTTAACTATCACTGAAAAATGACAAAATACCCATTCAATATTCCGTTATATTATTTCTCTGTTCATACAGTCAGACTGCCTTCAAGTTCTTAAGAAAAACCACTGGTTTACTAATCCGATTATTATGATGGGATCCCTTGAACAGAGGCTACACAATATGAAGTTACCCATATCTAGCAGATGAATTAACTGATGCCCAATTATATAATCTCAACCTCTTATTAAACATATTACAAAAATACAAATTTTGAATGGAAATCAAACAATACCTTTGGTGTTGAAAGGAATCCTGTATCTTGTGTGAATTCTACACCATACTTGAAGGTCATCACATTTGCTCCCATTTCTGATTCAGTCTTTATTTCCATACCATCATTTCCTATTAGTCTATAGGTTACTTTTGGTCTGTGGTTCATAATTGCTTGTCTTATCCTTTCGTCAACATCTAAAAGATATTAAGCGATCAATTATCAAAATGGAACTCAACTAAAGTTTATCTAACGCATAGAAAACCATTTTTTACGATTGTTTCACTTACAAACTTTATCAAGAAGTGCTTTGAAATTCGTCATCTCCACCAGCTTCCAACTTCCAACAAACGCTGACATGGTTTTCTTTCTTCTCTCTATTTAATCAGAGACAATTATATCCATTTATATACAAATTAATAGTAGAATGAAATATCGTATTCTTACTGGTCATTAGTTATATACTTCAGTTCATTATTTAAAAAAAAATTGTTGCTTCACTCAATTAAAGTTTTTTAATCAATCTTACGTATAAGACAGAATACATTTCAACAATAATGCCTAATTAATGTTCGAAAAAAATATTCAAGTAAAATATTCCATATTTAAATGTGTGCGTCACTTTTCAATATAAGAATAAACAATATCTCGTAATATTTGCACTTTATAACTCGCTTTGATGTATACCTCAATTTAAATCACATGGCTTAAACGTTTATTGATGAGAGATTGCATATTGATCAAATAGTTTAACAGAATGAATCCTTTTCATTCAACTTGTATTTTTCATCTTACAAATGCAAATAAACGCGAGTTTTCTGTAGGTTCTTTCAATATTTAGCGCTGTATATGAGGAACATGAGTTATCGAAACAATGATTAACTGGATGATATTTGTCCTCTACTGCTTCTCTCTTCATTTCCTTAAAATGTACTAAAAAATAAGAACTCTTGAGCAAAATAAGAAAATGGGGACATACAATAAACTGAGTTCATTGAGTCAACAGGTTAAATTCGAGAGGTCTGCAGGGATTGAATTAGTTTTCTGCTAGATCATGAGCTGATACCAGTTAGAATACTAGTGAAGACCAGAGAGCACTAGACTGACATATTGGTCTAGTTTAAGAAATGTTCCGAATCGACAGAAGTTAGAATTCATGGATCCATTGATCCCGTCACCGGGGCTTAATATCCTAGGTTCGATCCCCGGTGGATTCATGGGTGCGTTTTAATAAAGAATCCCAAACCACGACAAAAATAGTCGTCCAGTACCCCTTATCTTTGAATGGTTGTCAAACTGATATGATCAGCTTTGAAACTTGAATTCCGTCACAGATATCTTGTGTAATATACTTTGAGTTTATCCGGAAAAGACAAAGGTGGTGAATACCTTCTAACTTCAGACTCCGATTAGTCAAATCTGCTTATACTAATTATTGAAAAATTAATAGAAATAAATCTATACAAATACTCATGAGACAGTCGCTGTCGCCGACAATTTCCAATGTCCTCACTGAATATGTATAATTCCTGGAATATCATCGAGACTTTGTTTAAAGCAACAATCACCTGGGAAATATTTCCAATTTAGTAGAGAGGAAATTTTTGAACTTTAGGAATAACTATGCTTAGTGATGGGGCAGTAAAACACGATGAACCTGAATTTAAAATTCTAGTCAGCATCTTAAGTAATCAATGTTTGTGTTTGTGTTTTTAAACAACTAGAATGTTACATATGTGCAATTAAACTCAATTTTTACCTGAATATAAACTTCCAAACATTGTGATGAATATTTGAACTGCTTTTTTGCATGGACTTACTTAATTTACTGTCGAATTGTTATTCTAGGAGTTCGGAAAATTCACTTCATCTTCAGTACGTCTGAATAATTGTTAATCTACACTATTTTCAGATGAACTGAAATTTTGAATTAAACTCACTTTAAGTTAAATTATAAACTGTCATCAGGGAACTATTTAATACCAAGAAGTAATAAATAGCTGTTTCGTTCTAGTTTAAGACTCTTTGGTACTATATACCCATGGCCTCTCTTGAGGTTGAACTCAAGAAATTTAAGTTAACCACTCAGTCACTGGAAGTTCAACCAATGAAACTCTTCTTTCTTACTTTACCCAAACATTTATTCAATGCATTTATAGTCATCATTTTCTTCGTATTTCAAAACCAATTTATCTTTTGTTAAACAAGCTCGTTGCGACATAAGCAGGGAGATGGATTAAGAAACTATTGCATTCTTACTTTTCTGACTTCAAGTAGTGTATTGTTTATAACAGGAGTCCTACACTGCTTCACTTACCCTAGTTGGTGTTCCTTAAGGTGCTGTGCTTTCTCCTCTTCCGTTTTCCTTCTTACACAATTTGCCTCGTTACAACGAAGCTAATTTTGTTAGGTATGCCAATGATCTGAATGTTTCCATCCCGGTTACTTCTCTGTCAGATTGTTCCAAAATGAATAACTTTTTATTAGTAATTAGTCAATGGTCCTTTTCAAATGGTCCTAACCTAAATCCCCTCAAATTTCAGGTTTTCAGTTTTATTTTTAGACCGAAGCTTCTTTACTTCCCCTTCCCCCCCCCGACCTTAATCGTTCCTGGTCTACTTAAAAGAGAATTTGTTACACTGAGATAGGCACTAAAAGCTGTTTGTGGGTCGAGTAGTGTGTCACTTAACCAAATTTTTAGTAATGTTGTAGATAGACACATAGACTCATGGAAGAAATAGGTGAATATTATCTTGTCAGACCCTGAGCATCCTCTCTACGCACAACTCTCTCCTTGCATCTCATTAGGTAGAAGTGGAAGCAACGACAGAAGACTTTGCGCTCAGACGAATAAGCATAAAAACTCAATGGTACCTTCTTTGGCACACATTTTATGTGAAGAGAAGAGTGTAAGGTGTGACACTGCTAACTTGCTAAGAAACATTAAGTAAACGGCTCTTTTTAATTCTTTCTTTCATTGTTTTATTGTTGTTAATATTTTTACTTTGATTTTAATTTTATATTGATATTTTTGTTTAACGTTATCAATGTAAATGCCCTGTGTATTTATTTCCTCTTTCACTCAGCATCAACAACAAAATTCGGTCGGATTTTCAACACAAACGTCAAGTCAGTCAGTTCTTCTATACGGATCACAAACTTGGCGGGAAGGGGTCACAAAGAATATTTCCAACGGCTGTGGCAGACCTTCACCAATAACTGTCTTCGCTCTATCCTGAAGATCAGATGCCCGGGCCGGAAAGAATCACCAACAAGAAACTATGATAACAAACAAAAAAAGAACCAATCCCCCAACAAATATGTAGGAGAAAGTGGAGATGGATCGGACACTCGCTGGGTGACATTGCGCGCGTCAGGCCATTGCTCGAGTAGAACCAGGCCGAAAGGGAAGTGGCGAGTGGGACGTCAGTGCAAGGGCGGGTGACGTGGAGGAGATCGTGTGAAGAGGAGTTGGTTGAAACAGTATGGACTAACATGGATGCAGGTGAAAAGCAAAGCAGAAGACAGAAGTGGCAAGTGGAGACGTGCATTTGAAGCCCTATGTTCCACCAGGAACCCAAGGGAACAATAATATAATGTAATAAGTAAATCAGACGCAGTATTTTACACATACTAAAAATTCCATGTTTGTATCAAAAGTATCGTTTGGAATAAAAGCTATTATTCCTGCTATCATGATTGCCTCATTGTGAAACTGGTTGAATAATTAGCCGTTGATGTTCTCTTCGCTTTCAGATGTGACTGTCAGCATTCAATCAATAGACTACCATACGACCATATGATTCGACTTCATAAAGTCAATACCTGTGAAAGACTCCACAAATATTTATGTCATCCTGAGCTATAAATCTCCTACATTATTTCAGTTTATTCTTAAGTCAGTATCTTGAATGATAAAAGAAGAAGTGTCGTTAAACTTCTAATTAAGATTTTTAATATGTTTACATATTCACCAATAAAACTGATCAAAACCTCAATGGCTAACAAAGACAGATTACCATACATCAAAATTTCTAACTTTCAGAAATAAATCGGAAGAACGTAGATGAAAATTTAAATCAAAGCTAAATGACATCATGGTACGTACTATTGATAGGTCTGAGGACCTAGAAACTATTCATTTCAAGAAGTAGTGTTCGCTTGCCAGACCAGAGTGAACCAAACACCGGATGGTCGTCTTGCCCATTTCAGACCAACCTCATCAGCTGGATATCGGGATTGAGTCATCTCAGAGTGTCGAATCATGATAAAGTGCAATCAGAGTAACACGCTTTTGTATGCGTTCTTTAGTGGCATTCTTGATATCAAGTAGGTCGCACACTGTGATCTGTGTAATTTTGGTTTCTCAATGGAAGCCGTAGAAATTTCTCATCTTACAATATCCCGTTTGAAACGATGAATTTGACAAATCAGACATAAAAGTGGAGTCCTTTGAGGTTCTGTAAAGTAACAAATGGTGAATATTAAATCAATTCTTGTCATCAAATGACGCCGATCAAAATGCACTTATCTTCATTGAATTGAAAATAATGACTAGAATATCACTGTTCTGTCTGCTGTCCAGCTGAGTAAACACTTTATTAAGTACAGGCATACCATAATTCACAGATACTCTTCACTGTGTAAAATTAATAAATGTAGTTAGAAGGCATGACAATGTATTCACAATGCTACTAATGACAATGATAATTAAATAGTGAAAGGAGACAATAAAAGAGACAAGAGGCAGACTGCATAATTAGTTATGTTTGTTTCAGTCAAACTTAAGCATTTGTATCACTAGCACATCTGTTATGAAGAAATGTGGTTTCTGTGACACTTTTTGACTGTTCGGCTTAATTTACATTAGATCTCTAAGAAAAACTCCAAAAAGGCAGAATGAGACTATCCCTGAGATTACAGTTCCCCAGGATCTAATGTGTATTTCCGTATGTTCAACATTACACTCACTAATAAAGAAGAGTATTAAAATGTAGATGGTATGATCACTCAAACAGAAAAGGTGAAGTACATTAAGTACGTAACTGTCAGAATTATTACTATTAATATTCTTAAGAAAACTGATGCACTTTTCGAAAGCTCTTGTACGAAATGCTGTATACTGACTAGATAGCAGAATGAACTTTACGAATACAAGCTAAGTATATTTGTGTACTTTTTATGCAACGGGAACTAAGTTTGTGTGATAAAATACACACTATGCATTCTTCAGCGTACAAGGTTTGTACAAATTAAGTCAAATCGAAATCGCCGTTAGAATGGCAATATTTGTAGAAAGTTTGTAAAATAATTACTTGTAAATATTTCTAGAGTTGAGTTGTGTCTTTTGAGATTAAATT